ATGGGAGGATTTGGTTGTATTAATTTTAACGTTGTTTTAACGGATTGTCAGTTGTAGGGTTGATATTATGTTTTTTGTAGCTTCTTCCAACTCATCCAGATTTTTTAGTCTTTACTTTTTGTTTTCATCCCAGTTGGTTCTAGAGTTGTATAATCTAGGTGAACTCTTCCTGTTTACAACAGTTCTATTAATTGTTGCTATTATAGGAATATGATGTAAGGATAGATTTTCTTTTACAATTTAATAGTACAATAAAGCAAAATAATTTTATAAAATTTTTATTAATCCTCATTTTTATAAATGTAATGAACATAACTGAATAATAATTTACCTTATCAACATCAAGAAGTGCAGTTTAATTCACAAGGGTTTATTTCAGATTTATGTCGATTAACAGAACTACGTTTAGCCGAGTAAAATAAATTTCCAAGTACTAGTATCAATTTTATCCAATAATATCTTACATACTCTCACTGGCCATCAGGACTTGGGGAAGAAAGGAACAAACACACAAATTAATTAAATAAGATATCTGCATTTTACAAAGCAATAAGTTACATATCAATCCTTGTATAAGAAACCAAAACATAAGTCGCGGCTCGCGTTTTATAATACAAACTGTGTAGCCAATGATGTTGGCTATAGTAGCGAAGTGTTAAGAAAGCGTAAAATGCTTTTCGTTTTTGCAGAAGTAAGGCTCTGGTATCTCGATCTTCATGATACGTTGAACATTTGAACTTTATGCCTTCACGCTTTGATGTCATCGCATCGAGAAGCTCGATTTTCCCCTTGGAAGACTGGAACAACGATATAATCCGTCGACAAAAACTACTGTCGGATAATGTAGCACCAAAACGCGTAGTAAGAAGCAGAATACAAATTAGCCACGACATTAACATGTTTCTCGGGAATCAGAATTAGCACCACCTACAAACTTATTATCGTTTTGAATATGCTGAAGGAAAAAGCCACGAGTAAAATTATACTAAGTGTGGTAGTACAAATCGATACATTTCACTCATCACTCTTTGACTTCCGTTTACAAATTTTACTCTATAGTTCGCAGATATACAGTTTTGATCCGTAATAAGCAACTTGTTTGGGACTGACCAGTTATTTATTACAGATCAGATATGCTATTCAGCTTGACTTTGTTCTCGAACGGGACGAGAGAACTTGGAGAACGAGCGAGAAGCTCGAGATATGTATAACACATGCCAGGATAGCTAATACTAGACTGAGAAAACATACATATTCTATTCATCTGCTATTAAACGACGTCATTATTCATTCGATCGTAAAGATTTATGTTTCTCGCTTTCACGGACCTCTCACTTATTCTCGGATTTCTCACTCGGCGGGCGAGTTCGAATAAAGAAGGAATAGCGAGTTGCTTATTACGAGCCAGAGAACAGTTGCTTATTACGGATCAAGACTGTATAATGTAAGTACTTATTGGTTTGATTTTCAGCCTTCAATTTTGATTCGCTGTAGTAAAAGTTCGATGTGACCGACAGTTGTGACGACATTCATAGTGAGAAATTAAATCTAGGGACTTTGAATTAGTACATCCTTTTTTTTTTGTTTCATTTTTGACATCATTTTTGTTGTTATTTTTTCCTTGCATACTAGTTTCCTCTCAGCTCCGTCAATCAAGTGTCCATTGATGATTCGATAAATGACAATTCATCAGCGAGTTCCTCGGCTACGCGTTGATCAGTCGATACCTTATCTTTGCTTTCGTCGGACTCTGTGTCCGACAATTGTTCACATCAATCACTACAAACAAAGTATAATTAAATTTGTAAATGAGAAATTCGTTTTTTATCGAGGAAAAAATAAAAATGTTTTTTTTTCGTAATTGCTATAGTATTATCCACAACATAAATACTATTTTTCTTTTACCATTTTTATACGTACCTCATATTTTAATAATAAGGAATTTCTGATAAATATCTTATACAGGGTGTTCACGCTATTACTAGCCAGCGTTTTCTTCATAAAAAATTGATATGTGCTATATTATGTTGGTCATAGGGAACTGCAAAAATTTACCTACTTTCATTTTTTTCTAGTACGAGAAAAATGTAATAGCGTGAACACCCTGTGTATGCAAAACGTATACAAAAATTTAGTACAATATTAAGATATGTAGAATATTTGTAAAGTATATCTAAATATTATTGTATATTTTTACATATTCTTGCGTATTTCAATACAGTACGAATACACAAGCATCCTTAACTTAATAATCATGCGCACTATGATAGCTTGGAAAATTACTAAATTTCTAAAATAGTACAAAAAGAATAAATCCAATACCTATCACTGTTTTCCGTTGTTCCCTCCTCGCTGCAATCCAAGTCTAGTTCGCCCTGAATGGCGCTTTGTAGATCGTCGATTCTTTGAAGCGCCAACCTAAGATCGTCTCTGGCGACTTTTGTCTCTGCTTCAGTAGCTTCAAGGGACTTTTCTAATTCGCGACGAGCCCGTGTAGACTCTTGTTCACGTGCCTGCGCCGAGCTAGCTTCTTCTTTTGCCTCACGCAATGATCTCTGTAATCTTCTCGCGGCGTCCTGTGCGCTCTGTTCCTTCGTTCGCAGCAGTGCTGTCTCAGTTTGCAGTTTTTCCACATTTTCTTTCAGTCTTGCTATCTGAGTCTGGTTAGACAATTCATTAAATCGTATTTTTTAGTTATACTAACGTATCTTTGGAAAATCATCAATGATAAATAGCCAAGACAAAGGATAACTTATTTAAAGCATTTCTTTATCCGCATTGTATACATTGTAACCTGTTAATAATTGGTCTCCCTAAAGAAAGTGGATGAGGGTATAAAATGGGATCGAAAAAAATTCTATGAACATAGTGCCAAAAACGGATACTTGATAATATATACGTTTCCAGAGAGAAGTACCGCAGATATCGATGCATAGCATAATTGAGATGATTATAACCATTTTTAGAATCTTGAGTGATACTGTGATTAGACCATATCGTTTGTTATATCGTTATTTAAGGTATTAATATTTGAACTCTAAGTAATTTCCAATATTCCATTTTTGGTAACAATGAAGCAAGCAATTTATTCTTATGAATAAAAAAATCGCCAAGAAAAACATGGAATACTATATTGGTTGCAAATAAAAGTATCACGTCAAATACATTCCAAGAAATTTGTCAGGTTTCGTTACACCGAATTGATCTTTGCCAAAAAGGAAACCGGTAACCATTTTAAACGAAACGTGTATGTAATTTATTTTTCATTGTTAAATCTTTTTGCTGCAAGAAAGAGCTTCAAGTGTAAAAAGTGAATTTTTCAATGAATATAAATAAAAAGCAACGTACCTCTAAACGCGCTCTCGTAGTTTGTTCCAACTCGAGTTTACTTTCGAGCTCCTTGGCGCGAAACTCAAGTCGACGTGTAGCGAGGCTGTTTGCAGTGGGATCCCCGAGTTGCTCGACTGATTCGAGCCGTTGCGACAGTTCTGAAAGTTGATCCTTCAACGAGGCCTTTTCTGCATCCAACATAGCAATTTGCACCTGTGCTTCCTGCAACTGTCCCTGTTCCGCCGACACTTGCTGTACAGCCGCCCGATATTTCTTCAGGACCTTTCGAGCAAAGTATGTATTAAGTGTTACAGAATACAGTGCCAAAATGATAGTAAAATGATGTTGTAATAGTACTTGAAAGAATTTTATTTGTCATTTTCTATTTATTTTTTTAAGAAAAATGACCTCTTTCTAGATTGTACCTACTAGAAACTTACTTCTGCTAATTCTTCTTCGTTTTCTTCCAACTGTGACAGTAGCTCGGTTCGTTCACGAGTGGCTACATTAGCACGTTCTTCAGCTTCGGAACGTTGCCGCAGAGCTTCTTCCAGCGTAGCTTGCGTCTCGTTCAATTCCTGCTCCAGTGCTTGCTTCGCTTTAACAGCGGCCGCTCTTGCGCATTCTGCATCCTCCAATTGGTTCTTTAATTGTCGTAATGCTGCTTTGCCCGTCGAGTCGCCCTTCGATCTCTCCAACATTGTTTGAGCGTCTCTCAGGAGAGCTTTAGTCCTCTTCAGGTCTCTCTTCAGCCTGTATGAAAACAAACCGTGTTATTGCAAAACATGTAATAGAATCTGTATCTTGTTTTACATACAGGTCGTGTAAAGTGTTACAAGTTCCTTTTCTTGTTATTTAACAGAGTATTGGGGTTCTTTGTAACATAAATCGAGTATCATTACTGTCTTTGTGTTACTTTTTTTCTTTTATAATAGTATAATACACCGTTTTTGTATTTTTTTAATAGTGCATTTAGGATTGAACATGTTTTAACCCCTTTATGTACGATTTGAGTAACAGTAATTTCCCATATTCACAGTATTTTAATTAATGTTGCATTTTCGTAGTATAGGATGAAACATATAAAGTGTCACAAGGTATTTCCTCCGAAACTATCGAAGAGTTATTAAACAATGATCCGAAGGTTGTTACAAGCACATATGTAGTACCTGTGCATGGTTTCAGCTTCTACTGCGCGTTCAGTTCGATCTTGTTCCTCGATGGCCACCAAACGACGTTCCAACTCGTGTTTCTCTCGAAGCAGTATCGTTCTCTCCTCGTGTTCATTTTCTAGTTGTGACTCCAAAGCTTTCACTTTTTTCAATGCGTTACCACGCATATCTTCCAGTTCCTCGTCTCGCTGTTGCATCTCTTTCCGCATTTCCTTGCGTTGCTGTTCGATGCTCATTTCAAGCCTCAGTTTTGCCTGCTCGAGTAGCTGCACCTGACCAGCAAGGTCATCCAGCTCCTCTTCTTGGTCCTTCGTTCTCTTTTCCAGCTCGTGCTTCGCCTTCTTCAACTGCGCCACTTCTTCCTCGGTCTTCCCGCTGAATGTCAATTCCTCGAGCTCTTGGCTCAGCGTTCGCAGTCTTTCTTCTTTTAAATCGATCTCCAATCTTGCGTCCTGTATTGACAAAATTAACAATGAGAACAACAACAGCTACAATCGGCGAAATTAAAAATGAGAAAAGAACGTTTTAATTTTTTCTTCTTCAACTTTTTAACCGACAATGGCACTTCTCGTTTGAAAATCCTTCTTTCCCTCTAACAATTGGTATCGAAACTGTCAATTATCAACGTCGTATTACAACGTGGTCAATATATGCCAAGGGTAAAATATGTATTTTTACTTTGTCGTGACGAAAAGAATTACTTTTATTATCTGAATAATACTCAGCCAGTAAATTCCTTTGATCTAAAAGGGTGTTTTATAATTGAGCCGTTTCACAGGCCAATGGTGGTTAGAAAACTCCACTTTGTGAATTTAACAAATTTTTCAAAAATCGAACAGGAAATATTTGACGAATTCAAATAGTTTGATATTCTGAATATGAAATATACACAGACCTGGGCAGCACTTTTCAAATATTACTTCAAATAAATATCTGAATTTACTCCATATTATTATTTCCTTTTCGAAATACAATCGTGGTATGTTTTATTTCAAGAAATAATTTTCAAAACAATCATCTTGCATATCTAAGATGACGAAAATAACGAAATACCGATTCGTTTGTTCAACTGTGATTGTGTATTTCACTCGTATTCCGATTACTTTTACAACATTACAGTTTCATATGCTTGGTGTGTTTATATTCAACTCGCACTCTTCTCTTTTACAACCTGTCTCTTTACAACTAAACCGACGGTCAAGCTTTCACGATTTATCCAGTTATTTAAAGACAGTAAAATAAGCGTTGGTACCAACTAAGATTGCAGAAAGAAGAAAACACTCATCTTTTAGAAGATGAATCTGCTATTCAGCGGCATGAAATAAGACGTGTGTGGCAAAAAGTAAGGCTCTTCTTGACGGAACATTTTTGAAGTAATTCCTGAAGAATCAAACATAAATGGAATTGTAACCGCTATCTGTAAAAAGTGCACAAGTAAAGAAATGAAAGTTTTAAATAGGCACATCAAAATTTCCCTCCTATTTGAAAAGGATTCACGGTGTGGGGAGGAAGTCCAATAGTTTCATCGAATATAAAAAAAAAAAAAAAAAAAAAAACGACTAAACCGGAAGATAACAGTTGCGTATGATGAAAATGTCGCTAATGTTACAAAACCATTGGAAAACGTAAAATACGTTTCCTTTTTTCTTTTTCTCTTTTTTAGGGATTACAATTTATTCGAGGCTGCACTGCAAAGAAGATCGGTAACTTTTTTCACGTCGTCGCTTTAAAAAGGCGCGTATTCGTTTGATCGAATCACACAGAAGTTGGAAGAAGTTCACGCTTTATTGCTGGCTTTGTCACATCTCAGGCGTTGATTGTGCGGAAATAGAAAACAAGAAACATGGTCTTCTTCGCTCAGTGTTGTTTTTTTTTTTTTTTTTATTAGTGCGATCATACGCAGCAAAACATAATCACAGAGATTTCGAATTTGGAAGCATCGATAGTAAGAGACGTTTTCCTGAAGAATACCACCTCCCTTCCATCTTCCGTACCAGAAGAATCGTTATTTTCTTCCGCAACTACGTACATATTACGATGATTCCAGACAAAAATCTCTTACAGATGAACTTTTTCAAGAGAGAGTTTTTTGCTCGAAGCAAATTGTTGTAGAAATTTCTTGAAATAAAATATCTTTCAGTTGTATTATCCTGACGATTATTTCTTTTGCCGAATTTGAAATAAAGAAGCAACGAAACGATTCGTTATTTGAAAAATCGATATATTTGATAAATCGATATATTTTCTATATCATCAGATAATAGTATTCGAGATAACAGACCGAAGTATCGTTTCAAATAGCTATTTCTTATTTGAATATTCAAATAAAAATTTCACCAGGTCTGAGTACACAAACAGGCAACGTAAAAATTTGAATAGTCATTCTGAAAATGTCAAGCTTAACGTTGAAACAACGAATATTCATTTATTGTCGTGAGAAAGATAAAGAAAAAATTGGATTTTCAATAAGCAAATTCACAGATATACTTACACTAAGGTTCTGTTCTATGGTAAACTTCTCCGCAATTGCAATTTCTTTTTCTCTGGCCAACCTTTCGCGTTGCGCTTTTTCTTGTCGTAGATCGTTCATCAGATTCTGAGTTTCCGAGTCGAATCTAAATAGGCAAATCAAAGATTTGGTTAAATAAATGAAAGAAACAATACGATACGGAAATTATCATAGCATCAAAATTCTAATTCTTCGTTTGACTCTTTAGAACAGAACTAAAGAAAAAAAAAAAATGTAACAGGCTTTCGTCGAATTTTTATTATGAATTTCACTTAAAAAATGATTAAAAGCAACGCTCGTTCCTTTGTCTTTTTTTGGTAAATAACGGTAATTTTCAGTTGAAACTTGAATTTTTCACGTCGTGAACAATTTTGCGGAAATTTTGAACGGTATCTTTGCAATCTTCGATCGTTCGAACGCGAATCAATCGCCGATCTTTTCTTCGAAGTAGCAACGAGATCCTAGTTTCTGGGCAATGCAACAGCCTATATTTGAAACAGTCAATCACAGTTCAGCCACTGAACAAAACCCCCGAACCAACGGCTTAGAGCCTTTCGACGTGCAAACTTATATACCAACCTGGCCGATTGCCAGAAACACTTGTTGTTACGAACGAAATCAGAATAGAGCTTCTGTTGATACTGTGAAAATTCGACGAATTTAACGAACATCGAAGAATCGTATGCCATTTGCGACAATCTCTTCAACCTTTTCGCCTAACCGAATACTTTAAAATGTCTCTTCGAAGTGACTTTCGATTTCGAAAGATCACGAATCGCTATTCACCACGATTCTTAGTAGAACGAAACCTGCCAATTAACTCGTACTACTCCCATTCCCGTAAAAAAGGTACGATTTATTAAAAAAAGAGAAAACAAGTGTCTCTTACATGACCGAGATAAAGCGAACGAAGAAAAGAGCTATCGACATGTCGGATAAAAAGCAAAAGTACATACTTGCGCTGCTTTTTCTCCAGCAGATTGTTTCTAGCAGTTTGTTCCTCTAACAATAATCTCAAGTCGTGCATTTCGCCATTCAGTTTTTGCACCCGTCGTTTCCATTGCCCAACAACTTGACGCTGTTCTTCGACCTCTTCGTAAGCATCAGCTAACTGAAACATTGCGAAATATCACATCCAACATTATTGCTTCAAGCGTGCTCCTTCGTTTAAGCTTTTTCATCGTGATCAACTGCCTGCTTCGATAACGTTTGATCGAATGCTCAATTATCGGAAGATCCATGTTACGAATAAAAAAGAAGACAGGGTTCCATTTAAAAAGGATTAACTCGACTTTGATATCTCTCCCGCTACTACACCTATAGAAAAATTATTTACACCACATAATGTGCCTCTTCATGAATGTAAATAAGCGTAAATGTTCACTTCTGTGCTACATGCGCGAGACACTTGCTCGAATCATCCATTAACGCGATTAGAAGGAACCATGTACAAGCAGAGGTGTGCGGGAACTCGAAAATGTTACGATGCTCGGGTCGGGTCCCGAAAGTATCTCAAAATTCGAAAACTTTGGGATTCTCGAGAATTATAAAATTATAAGAAGATAGAACATGGAACGAAAATGGTAAGCAAATATGTGATAGATATGATTTATTTCATATTTTCGTGTGGAAAAGCTAGTTTTTCAACGTTCTACTTTCGGGAATCGCGAATCACGAGATACTTTCGGGAATCCGACCCGATCCCGAGATAAATTCTCGACCCGACCCGACATTTTCGGGTCCTCTTACACCCCTGATGTACAGTCAAATCTTCTGTAACACGATTAATTCGTTCCGTGTTGTATGCAACATGTGTTAAGCGAAACCGTAAACTGATAGAAATTAGGGGAACGCGTTTCGCGTACTTGTTAACCCTTTCATTGCTGTTGGGCGCCTGTAGGCGCTTTGAAAATTTGCTCGCACAGTACTGCTGGACGCTTTCGACGTACCTTTACCTTAATTTCATCCTTTGCATACTTCCACCTGAACTGAGTAAAAGAAATTTTAAAAGGACGCGGCTTGAACGAAAGATTTTGCGACCGTGGTTATCGTCAGTCACACACGCGTTACGTATTAAAATCTGCCGCGGTGGAAGGGTTAAGCGAAACTTGGAACAAATGCAAATCAGGGAGATTTGTTCCGCGTTATTCGGAGTGCGTGTGCTCGAGAACTGGCTAGAGTCCGATATTTTCTTAATAATTTTCTCAAATTTACGAAGCCATGCTATGTGGAAACCATTTAACCTTTTCGCGACTAGCGCCGGCTATATCCGGCATCCACTAAGCGCGTCGCGTTGGCTCGCGTCTCGACAACTCAAAGTGAAGATTTATTTTAAAATACAGAACAAGGCCTCGACAACATTCCCTTTATCCAATACATCCTTAAGTCCTCTGCTGTTCCAACGAAATACTCTAAGATTTTACACGGACACACTGGGAGCTCCAAAAACGCGAGACACTCTTAACGTGTACGGTGTGCACTAATGGCACAACGACCCGTTCGTTAGCGGCGTACTGATGGCTATTTCCGCTGTCGCGAAACGGTTAAAAAAATATCGTGTTATAAAAGGGTCGACTGTACTATAAAAAAAAGAAGAACGAACATTGACGAATCCACGTTTGTAACGACATGATTGTGCATCTGGTGGTATAAAATATAATGGTAAATCGTTCGAGTGAACTTTCGAAGCAGCAACTACGGTTCACACTGAAATTCTCACCGATTTACCTTTTTCTCCAGTTGCTTTTTAAGTCCCACTAGCTGCTCGAGATCGTCCTCGTGTTGCTGTGCCATCTTTCTTTTCGTGAACTCGAGCTCTCTCACGGCATGCTCGTACCTCTGTTTGTAGACACCACCGTCTTCGCCGTCCTCGACGTCGGACACCACGCTGTTCAAATCTGCAGCCCTTGCGTACAAAAGTTCCATCTCTAGACGTTCTGTGGTCTGCTGGAGGTTCTTGTTCTCCTCGGTCACATCTTGGAGCTCTCGTTCGAGCCGCAATCGTTCGGACGTCTCGGCGTCGATCCTCTCAGCCGCCAGCGTCGACGTTGAGTGCTCTTCTGCGAAATCCGCGGTCATTTCGCTCAACTGAAACAACGAATCGAGAGGAGATTTATGAAAATTTCACCGAATACGAAGAATATATCGCGTATCCTCGAAAGGTTCTTTTCACGATATCTCATTCGACGAATCTTGCATTTGAATATCATCGAAGTAGCGATATAAATTTAGAGGGGATGATTTTAAACGAAACAAGTGGAACGTATGGTAATATTTTTCGTACGAAGCTTTGCTTGCAAGGAAATGGAATTCGAAGCTGGATTTTTCATTTGTATATTACAACTAGCTGTGTAAATGAAAAAACCCAACGGCAGTGAAACGAATGAAATTACTGAATCAACAGAAAGCGGCGAAGAGTAGATAAACTTGTACTCATTTTTCAGCAAGATCTCGGAACGTCGATAAATTTCAAAATAGCGTTCGAAAATACTTTCGTAAAATAGAGCAACCAGAACATTTTATGTCGATACTAAAATGTCTTCGTAAAAAGAAAAAGCTGTCTGAATTTCTTTGATAATCTCTAATTTTTTAGTTTTATTAAACAGCTTTGCCAATGAAATAATTACGACAGTTTAATAAATTTATCGCGAATATTTACTTTACGAAAGAATGGCAATTTATTCGAACGATAGAGCAAGTGGTTTAACCCCTTCGCTACGAAAGTGTTGGCTACGGGACAGTCGAGACGCGAACCTACATTTTAGCGACAGAGGTTCCTTTCAATCTATTTCTCTTCATATCGAACCGAATAGGTTAATGTGAAAATAAATTCAACATTAATTTTCATTGTTACAAACAATTTCACGATCATTTTCTCTACACATGTTGTAAAGCCGCAACGATTAATTTCTTTACGCCCTATACACTACGAAATGGTACCTTTTTTCAATAAAGAGCAACACAAGATTTCTATTCATTTTTTATACCTCCAGGCCAACGCTGTCGGAAATTGTCCTGTCCTCCGAGGCACGTGACAGAGAACACCTAGAACAGGAACTTTTCGCGACGCTATTCGACCTGCTGTAATACTGATAACCGCGTATCATGATATTCGTGGCGCTCTGGCTTCTGCCCATTGTTCCTCTCTCGTCCAAACTTCGCCATTCGTCCATTATGTGATCGGTTCGCTTGAGAAACTGCGAGATCTTCGAGGACAAGTAAGAAGAGGCAGTCGATGGTTCCATGTGAGAGGCTGTAGGTTTGAAGAATTGCCTAACCCTTTGCTTGTCGCATCCCAGTACGAAATTCAGACTAGCGTCGAACACGACCGGAGCCTGCTCCTTTATGCGAACGTCCTGTATCGATTCTAAACAGGATACGCTCTCCATGGGAAACATTCTTCTCGGAGGAGTTGAGAAGCCCGTTGGAGAATCCAGACCCGTTCGAGGTCTCAAGGACAAGGCGGATGCGGATCTCGAACGATAGGAGAGGCTAGAGGAGAGACTACAAGGTGACGGGCTCCTTGTGGAGCCGAATGCGTGCAATTTGCTGGTCGGTCTTCTGAAAGGTGGCAACGGAGGTCTCTTAGCCAACGTGATCGTCTCATCGGTGGATCTCCGCGAATTTTCCATAATCGATTCACTGGAGATGGTGGGCGATCTCTTGATCAACACTTTGGTAATCGGCGACTCTTCGAAGGACTGGGAATTATCGTTCGAGTCTGGCGACATCGCGCATGGATATGTGGTCGGTACTGAGGGCATCCTTGTATCGATTCAATTCTGATTTTCTCTAGCTAACATAACTCTCTCTCTCTCTCGATGGACACTCGAACCACTATACTCGAGGGCAGATTTTACCAGATTCAGCGATCTCTGTTAAACGCATATTCAGCTCACAGTTGCGTCCTTCCTCGCAATCTCTTTTCCACTCTTCGTTCCGATAAAACCTCATAATGTCGCGGTGGGACAATGATTTTTTCCTAGCAATTTCGATACGTTAGAGATCCTTGGTCCGCAACAACAACGTTACCAGCCGATCTTCAGTAAACAGCGAGAACGATCGCACGAGACATCGTTCAGCGATCGAATTACATAGCTGTTAGCACGGGGTTTCCCCTAGGTGTAGAGATTCGATCCGATCGGATCGAATTGTACGAGCATTTAATTGCGTAACGAGTCGAACGACGATTACGCCCGTATCGAGAGGGAGTCGCGGTGCAACTGGCTGTTCTTCCTGGGTCAACCGATACACGGACCGGTGGCGGCAGTCTGTTAGTGGAGACGGTCACCTCCGAGTTATTCTAAGGGAAACGAGGAGGAAGCGAGATGGAAACGTGAACGGGGAGAGGCTGTACGGGAGTGAATACGGGCCACGATTTTGGAACGGTGCCAAATCTGTCGACGGGTTCCCGCGAGAAAAGGCTCGAGCGGTGAACAGAACAGGAGGTACACGCCGATGACCATAACGACGGTAGGCAAGAAACAGAGCAAAAAGAGCTGAGAATAGAACCGGATAGGAGAAGTGAGAAAAACGTTCGATTCGCCCGTTCGGTTCGAATTAGTCGAATGTACCACGCGAAAGAGAGAGAGAAGAGAAGGACAATTGGAGAATCGTGGACGGCAATATCGAGCATCGAGAGCGACAACCGTTGTCTCTACGGTGTGCAGCAGCACAGGAGACAAAGAAGAGAGGCTAAACATCGCGACAGGGAATTTTCACACGATACTGACCATTCGGCGAGAAATGTCGGTCACTGGAACTTTTGTCCAAGCGCAAGGCAATACACGTCGAGGTCGGTGCTTCTTGTGATGCTTCGTTGATTAGATTCGTAACGCGATAAACGGGCTGCTACTCGTGGCACGTTTCGTCTGACGCAGTTAACCCAATTGCACGACACAGAGGATCGCGAGAGCTCGGACCAACGATGCTGTTTAACCAACTTTCCCATTGCTTTCTGGATATGTTACTTCGAGTCGATTGGCAGCTACCAACTGCACGATGAACGATGAGGTTTGCCGAAGTGTGACGAAATTGGCTTAACGACTTCTTTGGCGAGGTTTCTTCAGTTTTGGTAGAGAAATTAAAAACCGTCCTAACGGATCGTTCTATCGTGCTATTCGTATGGTAAATAAATAACACTGTGTTTTTCGTGATACATTTACAAAGGATTTTCGTTTCGTGGTACTTGATAAACGTGTATGGTGAACCTTGTTTGACTAACGCTCCGTTATTCGTCCTTTGCGCTAGGTGCAATTCTTATACCACTACGTCGAAGCGATTATTTGGAAAACATTCTTTCTACGCTTTGATCGTTATTGTACAAGTGTGATAGGGTAATTCCGGGAGAGACGGACATTATCCGCCATACGTGGAACGCGTCGGTATTCTTTTGTTTTACATTTGTTTTACGGAAAGCGATCGAGCGTGTGGCTCTCCGTGTTTTTCCTTCCATATCTGGTGGATGATGTAGGAAATACTTGCCGGGTCCGTCTCTCCCGAAATCACCCCATAGAAATAAAAATGAAGGTAGTAAAATCAAACCTTGGCTTCCAACTTATCGTTGTCATGTTTCAGATGATTCCGCTCCTGCTCCAACCTTTCCACCTTCGCCCTGAGAATCTCGAGTTCCTCCTAAGTGCAAAAATATGATTATCTATGAATTTCATGCAGGCATACAAGCATGCATTGACAATCAAGGCAATGTCTTTGAAGGTTTGAACTTTTAAAGAGATCCGTTGCTTTCGACGTTCTCTTTCAGAGGTTCTTTAATGAAACGACACGCGAAACACTTCGTCTCGTTGCTCTCTTATCATTTTGCAAAAAAAAACAGTGCCCGCTGTCGATTCAGAAAACTCAGGTGCAGATGCAAATATCTCCTAAATTAATGGATTTTCTACATAAATACCTTGGGTACTTTTTTACAGGAAATAAACAGCTGCGTCGACTAACGCGTTAAAAATTACACGATTCCGTTTAAGAAAACTATCAATGTCTCACCATCGTGTGATTTCTACACGTTCACCTACGGAAAAACTAATTTGCACTAGAAACCGTTTAATCCCTCTCCATTAACCATTTTATGTCTAAATTAGACAGCCCGTAATATTTCTTGCTCGGCGATTATATGTACATAACGACAAATTTTAAAAAAGAAAATTAATACGAGAAAAAATTCTTTCGGTCCTAATTTAGCATAAGAAGATCCAAAGAATTGCTAATTTATCAGTGAGAGGAAAAAAGTTCGAAAAATGTTGCTTCTCGAAGAAGAACTATTAATTCGACTGGATGTTGTTTGCATTATCCAAGCTGTGGAATGTTAATTGCCGTTTCCTTTCGCATGTCTAACAGTGGAAAAAAAACGTCAGTATGTAAAAATAGGAGGTACATTCTCACCGTCTTCGCCTTTAACTGATCCTCGGTCCGATGAACGTTCAATAAAGGTGCAACTTTCACGTATAATCTCCACCATGGCCATTCTCTTACGGACATCCACTTCCTAACGTTCCTCTGTATGCACCTAACTGCAAGATCTTGCAACTGAAATAGCGGAAAACGACGCGTTTTACAGTCGTTATTTAAACGATATGTTAATTTTTCACGCTAAACGTAAGAACGTAGAAAAAATGGTGAAATAGAACAGCGAGACTTGTAATATGTATGATAAACGTTGAACAGGAAACGTTCTAATTATAAAAACGGCAACACTGAATGGAAGATAGAAACGAAACGAAAAAAAAAAAATGAAGGAAAACTGTTGCTCCGAAATTTGTCTGGATGAGTGAAAACTACTGTGCACAGGCTCGCAAGTGAAGGTACACTTTTACAAACTCAAGAAGATGTCCTGACATACTTTCAGAGTGTTCAGTTTACGACGTGCCAGATAACCCCTACACCTTGCTTGAAGAAGAGTAATGTGTCCAGTTAGCTTCTCGTCTCTTTGATCTTCTAGTCGCTCCAGGATACCGGGTCTGAAAAATATCTAGCGAAAGAAAACCAGGAGATTAATTAATTGCATTCGATATTTCTTACTCTACTGTAATTTCTAATTTACGATACTTTCCACGAGCGTACTTTTACTGAACCGTTTAAAAAAAAAAAACAGTATTCTAATTTTCTTTAAGCATACGGTATTCGATTTTCCTTAAATAAACAGTGTTTTCAATTCTGATTTCGCAAAGTAAACAGTATTCCGATGTTTTTAAAGTAAACAGCATTTTAATTTCGTTTAAGTACACAGTATTCTAATTTTCTAATTTTTTTTTCTAAGTAAACGCTATTCTAATTTCTTTTGTAACTTAATCTCACGTTTAGAGAATATTTAAGTTCAAAATTTTCAAAGAATTTAAGATTATGTTATGCAAGAATTGTAGTTCATTCCTATAGAGTTCGATATTACATTTCCTTCGAATTAATTAAAACGACGCGAAGGTAGTGGTATGTATCAGAGACTTACGAGACACGAATAGAATAGTGAAATGAACGGAGGACACACAAGAGACGAACATATTCTTGACACGATTTGCAAGACTACATTCCGCGTAAAAAGTGCTATGGAAAAAATCTGCTCCATCTTAGGAGTAATTAAATAATGAAATAGCGCGTGAATACAAATTCTTGTTATTATTCACGCGTTTCCACACTGGGCAAGTAAATGGAACTCTAAGAAATTATGACGATTTTTAAAAAATATCGTTCCAACGATTTTCTCTTCAGTCGCATATTTTCTGTAATAACGACAAAATACAGACAATTTATCATAGAAACGAAGTAACATTTTACGTGAAATTTTTCAAAATTGAAGATCTCTTCGCAAGATGCAACTCTCAATTTGAATTATCTCAGATTTGAATTTGAGTTGGTAATAGAAAATTTGATTTCGTGAAATCATGCGATCGCTGATTTCAATTGGCAATAGAAAATTATGCTGGCGATTCTTTTCTGTCAAACATTCCCTGGCACTTATTTCACCTCGTTTCAAACAAGCATATGTGTTTACAGTTTCGAGCCAATGTGATTTCATTTCCTTATTACTAGACGGTTGCAGCGAACGTTCATTATCTTGCATATTATCTTGTTGATTGTTTGTAAACATTCTCACGTCGCTTGAATCATTTCAGGATGTTCCCTGGGTGAGAAGACTAGCGCATGTCGAAAGTTGCAACAGCACTTTCCATCAAGAAAGTTGACCAATTTGGTAACAATAAAATCACGACTTCAGTTTAATGTAAAATTAATAGATAACACGAACGAATGTTTGTCGCGGTCTTTTCTCATTTTTAAGTAACGAGTTTTTATCCCCTTCAACGTTAACCTACATCTTCTTCTTGAAAATAACCGATATAACGTTAATTATTGAACATCAGGTCACGCTAGATTTTCGTAGAAACATAAGAATCGACAGAAAAATGTTTATTAATTTTGGAAGTTGATGTGGAGTAATTAATGAAATGAAAAAAAAAAGGCTCAGAGAGAAGTGAAAAAAGTTAATTGTAAAGAAGAAAGTGTATTAAAGTTTGAAATGAGTATATCACTCGATGAAAATAGAAACGAATTCGACGTTAGAAGTGAAAAATTTCACTTCTACGATGTGAAATACCGTTTTCGAAATTGTACACACGAACAGGAAAACTACGTCAGATAATCTGCATAACAATTAAATTAAACACGACCCAGGTAATTTCACGTAAGCAATAACGAGCTTCTTTAACCATTTACGTTATGGAAAGATAAAATATTCTTTCACACTATAATTTATTTTCACAGCTACGCCGATTCAGTATTTCTATTCCTTTCAAGGGTACAAGATATAAGACTCAAGATATTCATCTCTAAGCGAAGACAGAATTAAGAAATTCTATTCTAAGTGAAAACAGAGAAAACGATTGAAGATAAGTTTCCACCAATTCATATACTTTCCATTAAACTACACAAATCGTATCTTCGTCATATTTTCCTGTGTATACCATTATTTAAAACAATTAATATATTCCCGCCATTTTATTCCTATGAAGTAACTAAAAAAAAAAAAAAAAAATTCATCGATAAAAAATTTAACAATTAATTAGAAAATTAATTTTTCACATAAAATTACCCAGTGTTGGAACACATGTTCATACAAATTACTTGATATACACTACCGGCCAAAAGTTTCGAATCACCTTCCAATATTCATCAGTACTGAATCTGCTACTAATTTCTCATAGACTTGATATTGATATTGTGGAGATAAATAGCAATTTGAACGATAAAAAATTCTTAAAGCTGCTGACTTTTTTCTGGGAATTTTTGTGTAACTTGCAATTCACAGTGATTCCAAACTTTTGGCCGGTAGTGTATACTCCCAGAACATATCGACGCAGTTTGATTGTCTAATTTTGAAATACCCAGTAGATTTCTCGCCAATTCAATTACCAGCAACGTTTAATCGAATTAGCGGCTGTTCGCAGTAAGTATCTAATGAATTTACAAGACCGATGATTACGCGACGGACCTGTCGTCCATCGTTGTAGGATCTGCAAGCTTTCCACTGGTCTTTACCGGTGTGCTCTGCAACTTTCACGTTTTCCCCCTTACAGCTCTCGATACTACTAGCTCCGCTCGAAGTCGATATCGTGCTTCGAACGATAACCGTCTTCTTCTCCGTTTCCAGGCTGCTCACGATCGACGCACCGTCGTAAACACCGATTCCGTCGAGTTCGTTCTGTTCGAAGAATTCTTCCTTCTCGAATTCTCGGGTCTCACCACTTTGCACCACGCTGTCCTTCCACTCAACCTCGTTCTCGTTGCTCATATGACCACTGTCCTCCGAACAATTCCCATCGGAAGTGTATCCGTTGTAGTAATTCTTCACGTCCACAGATTTCTTCAACGTAGTGTTCACCGGTTCGATAGTCGCCGAGTCCGACGTGGACCGTGCTTTGATCCAAGGATCCTTCACCTCTTTCGACGCTTCTGCGTTCTTGCAATTGAAGAAGTTCACCAAATGCTCGATATCCTTAGCTCTCTTCCCCACAGACTGTTTCCTCTTCACTTCCTGTCTAATCTCGTCGTTCCTCTGACAAGTAGTCGCCTTAGGTGTTTCTACGTTAGACACCGCAGGAGACACGTAATCTCTCTTCTGTTCAGGCTCCTTGATCGACGAACTGCCGCTTTGTTTCTCCCAATTTTTCCTCAACTCTTGTATACTCGACGTCTCCTTCTTCTTCGAACTCTTCGTAACGTTCTGCTTCTCGATTTCCTCGTACTCCAATCGACATCTGAACCTTTTGTCAACCGGGTTCTTCAATTCGTCTAAATTATCCGTCTTCTCACTATCCTCGATCTTCTTCTCTTCAGTCTCTCCCGGGCTGTCCTCGATTCTTATCACCGTCGCGGTGTACTGCTCTGCCTCGAGAGGTTTCCCGATAGACTCGTCGCATTGTTTCACGTCGACGTCCCGAATCTCGTAGAGAGAGGTCGTTCTATGCGGAGGAGCAGCAGAATCCACATAGTCGACAGACGTAGTTCGAGCCTGTTGCTCGTCGACGTCCACGTCGTCGTCGAGCTGCGCCATCAGTCGAGCAACGCGTTCTTCGAGGTTGCTCGTGTACGTTCGAGTAGGCTGACGGTTCTCTGTCAACGTGCAACCAAACGCCTCGCGACAGTTCTCGTAGATACGCTCGTCCATAGAACGGTCGAGGTCCACTTCGTTGAACAGTACCGGCTGCATCGTCGGCTCGACGGCTCGATCTACCTGCGATAGATCGGCCAGAGATCGACCTACGCGAATATTCCGATGCGTGAGAAGCGGGATCTTGCTAGGCCTCGACGACACTCCGAACGTCCTCCTGTTGCCCGAAGCGTCGCTCCTCGAAATAGTCTGCACATTCCACAAGCTTGTAGACCTGTTCATCGTTTTTCTTCGCGGGATTTCCTGCTTCCGCTCTTTCTCTACGATAGTCTGCTGTTTAGCCGACTCGAAGGAGAACGAGCTGGTCATTTTGTACGAGTCGCCTATGGAAACGCAGCCTAAACTGGCCGAACGATCCAACGAAGCTTTCTTCCTCAGAGCTTCAGGTTTCTTCGGCACTTTCGCCGGTACGTAGGACAGACCTTTCTTCAACAACGTCCGATCCTCCAAGATGGTACAGGAGGCCGTGGAACTGATCGATCTTGTCACTTGTTTCTTCTCGCTCCACATATTGGCCGGTGCAGCGGCACATTTCGCCGTATCCGATCGACCGTCCGACGTCGAACGACGGGATTTGTTCGGGCAGGAAGTGCGCGACTTGGCTGGATCCGCAGAAGAAGTCTTGCAAGCTTCGTTGGCGGATCGCCTTACAGGATCGTTCGAGGCGATCTTGCCGGTCGTTCTAGAAGGTAGCGTCGTTTTTGCAAGTCGCTGCGACTTGCTCGTAGACGTTGCTCTATTTTGATCGGACAGAATTTGTTGCTTCTTTACAACCGACAACGGTGGATTCGATACGTTCGGATTGCTCTTCGCTTTCACGAGACGCGAGCCTCCGTTACGTGACCATTTAGTCACGTTGTCCAACATCGTGAAGCCGGAGGGGGTTGTGAGGTGGTAATTTCTGCGAGAGATCAACGAAAGAAACTTGTCGATCCTTTCGAACGATACAAGGCCGAAGAAACCAAATTCTTCGTCACAATTCGGTTAATTACCGAGTTGGAGTGAAACTTTTTTCTCTCCCTCTCGAGCAATCGATATTCTTCCGGTTCGAAGATACACTTGCTACCTCGATAAAACAACGAATACAAGTGGACTTTTCCGTGTGTCAGTTGG